AATAGACATAGCACTGCAAATACGGCACACTAAAAGGTAAACAATGTGAAAAAAATCTAATGAAAATAACATTTTGTTTAATTCATCTTGTAGGGTGCACGGAATTTAAATCCTACCCCCTACCATGCTGAGTATATGGGTCAAAAACTCCATATGGATCAAAATGAGAAGTTGGGTATGTTTGGTGTGACCCATGTCTTGGCTGTTGATGGGTACAGCAACAAAATAGTTGCTCAAAGCACCATGCCAGTTAAAAACAACTTGGTCATTTTTGAGGAAATATACAGGTACTGCATCAGTCTCTTTAATGTCGCATGGAACACTGAACATTAAAAACATTTAATTTGGTTATTTTTCTGATTCTTTTGCAGGCCTGCTGTGATTAATTATGGCTTATGGGATCAACTTTGCGTTGATCATGGGAGGGAGTTCTTTTTATGTTTACAGTATATGTACAAGAACAACTGGAAAGATATAGACATGACAAAAGTCGACCATCATACCTCCAGACTATGTCAACAAGAGTGAATAATAATGTTTATTTATGTATCTGAAATGTTTTTTGCTTTGAAGTTTTTAATATTACATTTTTGAACTCAGAATCATCGAGTGGAAAAGCTTTGGCCTGAGGTCAATAACCGTGTCAATTATCCTCTAAAGCAAGCCCTGGTGCATCTTCAGGACCAAGAGGTTATCAATATGGATGAACCATTTGATTAAATATTGCACATCTCAACTCACATGTCAATTGAGTGAAATTGGACTTGGCAGAGTTGTACGTTCCTGGAACGCACATCAAATTCCACGTATGTTTAAAGACACTTTGGTAAATTATTTGATGTTGTACATGCATGTTCTCACACATACAATGTTCTGCTGGGGATAATAATAATAATAATACTTTATTGATCCCTCAAGGAGAAATCAATCATTCATTTAAATGTACGAAAGGATAAATTATGTTTGCATGAATCCTTTTGTGCAATTATTTCAGGCTCTGGGATTCCAAATAATCGGGCTGCAGGTGGTTGCCCTGTAAAAATAACAGCTGAGTCCCTTCCATGTGCTGCAGTTGTTGCAGCCCAGTATGAAGCAGAATTTGGATCCTCTCTGACATGGCCGTCTGAGTTTGGCACATGTCCCTTTACCACTGAGGAGGCCATGCAGAGCGCACAGCAAATGTTCATTGAGAAATACCCTGACATCTCTGTTCTTTTCAATGAAACCATAAACTACAACTTTACTCCCTTTCAGGATGCACTGTTACATTTGATAAATGTTACCCAAAGGTACAGCTAAAGTCAAGTCCTATAGGTTGTGCTCAGGTTGTATAGTTGTCTCAGTAAACCAATACACACATTGCCTAAACTTGCCTTGTTCAAGTGCATTAACTTCATTAAAGCATTTTGTAACTTGTTTTTTGTTTTTGTTTCCTCTCACAAATATATGCTGTTGGAATCTTTACCTATTGAGCTAAATGTTAATATAAGTCTGGGTGTAATATAATTAGTCTCCCTTTGAAGTCTACTAAATAGAGGTAAAGCGTATTCATAAGGTTTAACATAACTCCAGGTGCTGTGGCAAACTTGATCTATTCTCTAACCTCTAAAGGTTCACAGTGATCCGGTACAAGAATACAAATGAGCAATATGTATTTTTTATTTAAACTTTAAGTAGACTCATACACACACATGATACGTAGATATAATAAGATTAAAATGGCAGTATAAAGAGCGCACACAAATGCATATTTACAACCGTTCATCCATGACTTGTCAGTATTGTCTCTCATCTATTATAAGACTGCGCAAGATTTTTTCTGGAAAATACAGTTGAGCACCACAAAACGAGTCCAAGAATCCTTAAAACAAGTAAAATGTCCCGTTTCGTTGCTTTGGCAATGCATGCGCCGACTCCGTGCGTCTGCCTGCTTTCTGCTGTTTCCGACCGGACGAAAATAATGGTGCGCAGCCTTTGGCGCACACTTCCGGTGGCACCAAAACGAAAAATGAAACCAAATCGGACCTGAAAGCATTATTCAATATTTCGTTTTTTTCATTTTTGCATCGAAACGAAAAATCAAATATCAAGGTAATTTTTCGTTTTTCCTTTTGCTCATCAAAATGAAAAATGAAAATTCAAGCCATTTCTTGATATTTCATTTTCAATTTTAATTTGAAAAACGATTGAACGAAAAATACACGGACCCAATACATGTGTATTTTCTGTGTCTTAACTGTTGATTCTCTGATCTGTGTTGGTGGTTTCAATGGAATTGTTAAGTCCTCTGAGATGACTGCTGTTGTGATTTAGGGCTATACAAGAATATATTGTATTGTATTGTAAATACTGGGGCGACAGTAGCTCAGTTGGTAGAGCATTGGCCTTTGAGCCTGAAGGTCGTGGGTTCAAGCCCACCGTAAGACCTACTTCACGACTCCCACTGATGACTGCTGTCGTTGTGTCCTTAGGCAAGACACTTAACCCCACTTTGCCTGAAGCCCCCACTGAAAGATCTCAGCTCCTGTGGACTCACCACCTGCAGGAGGATCAGTGAGAGGCTGGTGCTCTGTGAACTGGGTGGCATCTCTGGCCACCCCCCCGACCCAGAAATGGATTAAGGGGAAGAAAATGGATGGATGGATGGGTGGTATTGTAAATACTGTAAAGTGACTTTGCACTTTGAATGTAATCCTGTTCACCAATAAGCAATATGTAATTTAAAATCAGACAATATGTGTGCTGTTGTTGACAGCTATGGCGCTTAACTCCTCTCTCACATCAAAGACTCTGCATACGTGTGTCTTTAAGCAGGTTTAATGATGTTCGAAAAGGTGAAACTAAAAGGATAGACAATGTAAAATTACTATATGCCTATAGGAGGATCTTTGTTTACACCCGTGTGAGCATGCGCCCCTCGCACGGGTGGCAAGAAGCCAGAGCGGCACATACTGAAGCATGGATGCAACGAGTACTTTTAAAAGACTCAGTGGGCGAATTGTAGATAAGCACTTTAACGCAAGAAGATCAGAGGATGTAGACAGTTTTAATCTGAATTTCATGTGATGGATCAGAAAACAATAGTCTAAGTTGGTGAAGTGAATTGAGAAAAATATATACATAAAACTATTTTTCAGAAACAAAAAACTGGAATTTGGCATGTGCATATGTATTCACCCCCCTAAAGTCAATATTTTGAAGAGCCACCTTTAGTAGTAAGTCTCTTACCACTGGGATGTTTGCCCATTCCTCCTTGCAAAACTGCTATCAGGGATATTCTTTAGCAAAACCTGTACCACTGTGCGTGATTTGAGGCTAGGACAGAGGTTCACCTTCCAGCAGGACAATGACCCCAAACACACTGCTAAAGCAACACTTCAGTGGTTTAAGGGGAAACATAGCTCAGTTGGTAGAGCATTGGCCTTCAGGCCTGAAGGTCGTGGGTTCAATTCCCACCTCTACACCTTCTCCCACTGATGACTGCTGTCGTTGTGTCCTTGGGCAAGACACTTAACCCCACTTTGCCCAAAGCCCCAGCTGAAAGATCAAGGCTCCTCCTGTGGACTCACCACCTGCAGAGGGTCAGTGAGGGGCTGGTGCTATGAGACTTGGGTGGCATCTCTGATTGCCACCCCCCTGACCCAGAAATGGATTAAAGGGTAGAAAATGGATGGATGTAAATGTGTTAGAATGGCCTAGTCAAAGCCCAGACCTCAATCCAATAGAAAGTCTGTGGTCAGACTTAAAGATTAATGTTCACAAGCGCAAACCATCCAACTTGAAGGAGCTGGAGCAGTTTTGCAAGGAGGAATGGGAAAACATCCCAGTGGTAAGATGTGGCAAGCTCATAGAGACTTATCCAAAGCGACTTGGAGCTGTCATTGCCGCTAAAGGTGGCTCTACAAAGTATTGACTTTAGGGGGTGAATACATATGCATATGCCAATTTCCCGTTTTTCATTTCTGAAAAATAGTTTTATGTATATATTTTTCTCAATTCACTTCACCAACAGACTATTGTTTTCTGATCCATCACATGGAATTCAGATTAAAAAAACATTTAACTAAAGGCTGTAGTGTAACAAAATAGATAGAATACTTTTTTAAGGCACTGTAAAGACAAGCTAAAAATAAGTGTATGCGACCGAACTGAACAAATTCAAAGCCCATATGAGACCTGGAAATGAAACATTGGTCAGACTCACCTCTGTCTTGGCACCAATCTGCTGGGACTGGGACTCAGAGACATTTATTCTTACTTCATAGAAAACCCGGGGCGCTTCACTCAAGAAGGGTCCGTGGGGAAAATCCATTTCTCGCGTTTTTTGCCACACATTAAAAGCGGGTTGCCCCTTTTTGCTGTTACTTACGGTAAAGGTTGAACAGGAATACGAGGGGATTTTCCGAAAAAATTAGAAAAAAAACTTAATCTGTTCCCAGCGGGCCGCACAACCGACCACACAACAAGAATGGACCATTTGATTTAGTAAAACCTCTCTACAAATGTATAAAAATAGCTAACTCTCTAGCTTTCTATGCTGTAGTGCCACACGGTCACGTGACCGGCGTAGAAAAACAATAAACAACGACGTCACTCCAAGATCCTCCTATAATGATACAAATAATTCACATCACAGTAAAAAAAGACATGTACAAGTCCACTCAAGGTTGTAAGAAGATACAAACAGGACGCCATTTTGAAAGCTACGTTGTTCAAATAAAGTGAGCAAAACAATGGTGAACAGAGTTTTTACCAATCTCTAGAAGTCCAAACAAATACTTATCTAAAACATGTGAAAAAATACATATCAGAGATGCAACCTCAAAATATTTGCAATTGTCACAGTGCTCCCGCAGACTCCCTTTTTTTTATCAGAGTCTATACATCCCCAGACTTACGCCCAGGTGTCAGACTAAATAGCTGGTAACGCCCCTCTGTCCCGGGACACTCGTATTGGACGTCACAGCCCATAGGATAGGTTTAAAAGGGGGGGAGGAGGAATGTACAGGAGGAGAAGCCGGAGTAGAACTTGGGACATATGCAGAGTAAAACGCCGGTTTGAGACAGATCATCGACCTGTGACTCGGGAGCAGGAGCGGCCAGACGCGGACCCCTGGACGAGCCAGAAAGACCCCATACAACGTCTGCACAGCAATAAGTACAGGGACGTGTCCCTCACTCAGCAATCTACACTATATGCGTGTTTTAGTCTGAGGGCTGGAACTCACTGGCACCGCTTGTGATCCGTAGCTGGGATTGGGTGCGGGGCAGCTCTACAGCGGGCCAGTCTACAGCGAGCCAGTCTTCAGCGGGCCAGTCTACAGCGGGCCAGTCTACAGCGGGCCAGTCTACAGCGGGCCAGTCTACAGCTCTACAGCGGGCCAGTCTACAGCAAGCCAGTCTACAGCGGGCCAGTCTACAGCGAGCCAGTCTACAGCGGGCCAGTCTACAGCGGGGCAGTCTACAGCAAGGCAGAGGGAGATCGGGAAAAGACCCAAATACAACGCTGCAACCACTACGTGTGAAAGCATCCCACGCATCCCGACACCTCACCCACCTGCGCAGATTTGGACAGCGGGCCCGGACCGGAGGATGTTTATTTGACAACGCCCTGCTGTGTTAAGTAAAAGGGACGTCCCCTAGTTTCTCCTTGCTGTGCGTGTGTGATTACCTGTTGTGTCGTGTCTGAGGACCCGGTCTGTGTGTCTACAGCTCCAATCAGCGGTGTGACGGCGGTCGTCGGAGGTGGTGCGGGTCCAGCTGGGGACTAGACCCGGACAGTGGGCTGTGGCAGCCTGGGGGGCTGCGCTACGTCGCAGGGCACTCCGTGGCCGCAAGGGGGCAGCATTGGATAAGTGACTGGAGTCACTAGACTCTGAGCTGCGCTCTAGTGAACTCTATTTTAGCACAACGTTTTTATTAGGTCTTAGTGTTTTCACAGTCCCATTCGCTTTTATATATATATTTTTAGCACATTCGATGTATAAATAAACTTTTTGAAACTACCATAAGTCTTGGGTCATTTCTCAGTGGTACAATTTAAAGGTGGAAAGTTCTATCCTGACATTTATTTGGCGTTCGCTGGCAGGATCCACCAGTACTACTGAGAAATGGACCAGAGTAGGCAGGCTAGTCCGGCTATTAGTGCAAATTTTATGATGCCATGGTTCATGGGAGCCTCATGGATCCCTTAATTTGGTGGTAAACGGGACCAGTTTGGGGAGTGGAAGGCACAGGTGGAGGCAATGTTGCGTGCACAAGGCCTTAGCCAGCAACAACAGGTAGATTTTGTCCTCGGGGCCCTGGAAAGTGACGCTAAGCGAGAAGTAATGCTGGCCAGTGCCAATGAGAAGGACACAAGTGCTAAAATAATGGACTTATTAGAAAGAGTATACGGCCAACCTGCAACAAAAGTCCAAGCGCGAATGAACTTTTTTAACTGTAAACAAAAGACTGATGAATCTATAAACGCCTTTGTTTTGCACCTCAGAGAAGCTTTCTGTACGTGGTAGGAGAAGGATGAAGGAGGAACCGGGGACTCTGATGATTTGCTCCTAGACCAATTCATGGTGGGCCTTCGTCGAGGACTGGTAAAACAAGAGCTTAGCCGACAGCTGCGCCGCCGTGACGGCACAACATTCAAGGCCGCCTGCACAGAGGCCCGGGCATTGGAACAGGAGCTGCAGGCGGAGGAGGAATCACTGGTCACTAACCGTGTCACAACTTACGTGCCGCCCAAACAGCCAGTAATGGATCCAGTGCAAATTAACCCTAGAACACTATCGCTCAAATTCCAAACACCATCACTAACGCCGGGTGATTTTTACCCGAGATAATACACCCAATAAAAAGTACTTGTCATCAAAATATATCAAAACATGACAATACATGACAAATTTTAGTAGTGTTCTTTTATTTTAAACTGTCATATGTCCAACAAAATCAAAGAAAAGCATCATGAGGGGTCCACATAAAAATGCTCAAAAACGAGTGGAAAATCAGGAATTTGGGAACAAAAAATTCCTAAAAAAAATAAAAAAAAGAACATGGAAACTTGGTTTTTGTTCCACTCATTCCTAAGATATTTGAGACTTCCCTGGTGAAGGCTCAGTGTCCTTGACACACAAATAGCTGCAGGAGAGAGAAACAAAATATGTCATATTTTGAATAGGTAAAAATGACAAGCTGACTAAAATAACTTCATCATCATATGAATTCTCTTGGAAATCACCACTTTGTGATAGTTATTCATAACCACTGCACTAAATAAAGACAACATGCAATTCCAGGACCACTCTTACTTGCCTTATTCCTTACATGCAATCGGTACATGCAGGGTAGTAATGGCGCGGACACACTGGTCGACGGCAGACGTGTCACCTGTGTCGTGTCTTCCTGTCCGACCCTGAGGGGCAGTCAGCACACCTTACAAAGGCACCACTGCTTTCTGCTGCCACTGGTCCTTCCTCACTGGCTAGAGTACCAGGGGAAGGGATGTCGAGCACGGTACAGATCAGGATTCTGAGTTGACGTGACAGATTTGAAGCGGGCAGCCTCTGCTCTGCCCATGGTTTGATGAGTGCCAGTGCCAGAGCCTGCATATAAGGCCTTCTCTGCAGGTAGGTGTCATCTCTCTTCATTGCATTCTCCTTGTGTATGATGTATGAGTTTATCACACCAGCGTTTATCATGCCGTAGAACACGCACAGGGGCCATCTCTTGGTCTTTCTTCCACAGCTATAGTGAGCACACATCTGGTCGAAAGTATCGACACCTCCCTTTGTTTTGTTGTAAAACTCAATCACTTCTGGCTTGTGAGTGGGTCCAATGCTTGGTTGTGTGTGCATGGATGACATGAGCAGCACAACCTTCTTTTTGGAAGCTTTGTCAGGGAGGAAGGACACCAAGGTTAGTTCTTTGGTGAAGAGAAATGCAGTGGTGCCTGGTGTGCGATTTTCTTTGACTCTCATCATATGGGGGATCTCCTTTTTGTTTGCTTTTACTGTCCCCACAAGGGTCATGCCACAGTTCTCCAGCAGGTCAATCATCAGTGGCACAGAGGTGAACCAGTTATCAGTGGTCACATTCCTGTTGGTATGGTGATATTGCTTGGTCAGCTCCTTGGTGAAATACTGGCCAAGACTTTGTCCATCCTGTCGTTGTGTTGCAAGTTTCCCCAAGTATGGTATTCCTGCCAGCAGGTACTTGCTGTGGGAATCATTGGCAAGGACAAGCTTGATACCATATTTGGCAGGCTTGTTGGGGATGTACATTCTAAATGGACACCTCCCTCTAAATCCCAGCAGCTGTTCATCTACAGTTATGTTTTCACTGGGCACATACAACTTTTTACAGTTGTCAATGAATATTTGCCATATTTCTCTAATGGGAGCAAATTTGTCCATGGCCTGTCTTTCCTGTCGTGTGTCAGGGTCATCAAAGCGCAGACAGGTAAGGAGGAACGAAAAGCGACACTCAGACATAGCAGCACGGTACACAGGTGCACCAGTCGCAGGGTTCCACATTTCTTTAGTAGACAGATGGTTGTCCTTTTGGCAACCACTGAAGATGCAAATCCCTAGCAATGCTCGCATCTCTGCTGGTGTTGTTCTCTGAAAAGTTCCTGTTCTCTTCCGATACTTTACAGCTTCAGCATCAATACGGATGTTCGTCCATGTCACAATTTGGTCAATGATTTTGTCCTCAAAAAATAATGAGAAGCACTTCTCAGGAGTGTCAGCATTTGATGCTTCTGGTGTTGGTCCTGGTGTGAAAGAAGGCATGATGTTTCGTGCAGTTGTCCTAGTAGTAGCCGATGTCTGAGGCCGAGAACTCCACCGGAAACCAGATGCACTTGTGTAGGAGATATTTTCGAGTCTCACAACATAGGCCATGCCATCATCCTCATTGGAGCATCCTCTCCTCACAGCAGGAGATGTGACAGGAGAAGCATCAGGACTGGCAGCAACAGCATCAGGTGTAGAAGGGGCAGTAGTATTTGTGGCAGGGGAAGCATCGTGACTGGCAGGAAAAGCATCAGGTGTGGCACGGGACGTAGGATGGGCAGTAGACGTGGAGGCAACAGGTCCTGGGACAATTTTTCTGGTGTGTGGTCTACCGGAATCCTGATATTGTTTTTTTTTTTTTTTTGTCTGATGACTTGAAGTGCTAGTTTCAAAACCATCAATATCACTTTCATCATCCTCACCCGGTTTTGGAATGTAGTCAATGTCACTGTCGCTGTCATACATCTCTTCTGCTTCCACATTATCAACATCTTCATCACTGCTTTCCCTGAACAGAATCTCCAGTACTTCCTTCTGTGACAAGTACTTCTTTACTGGTTTTCTTTTAGACATATTTTTTCTTTCTGTAGGACTGCCTCAACTTCATCTGCTGGCTATTTTGTTTGAGAATGTAGCACTTGTCTGAAAGAAAATGCACAGTATGCTAGCTAGGTAATGTAGCTTCAAGCAAAAAAAAAAAAACGTTTTAGTTAGCTAACAACTGCTAAGGTAAATCAACCTTTAGCTATGTGTTACTCACTTGCTTGGATGCCAAGGACACCAAGGAGCAAAGCTGTAGTTGAAGTAGGCAAAGTAAATCTGGCAGTCCTGAATGTTGTCAACCTCAAAAGGGGGCAAGATTGTGTGATTTTATACACTAACACTAACCCTGGGTAAAATTCACCCAAAACCTACCCTACCTTCTATCACTATTGCTGGGTGAAAATCACCCAAGCATGTGCCTGTAGGAAAAAGTGTGTTTTGGATTAGGAAAACACCCATGCCATCAAAGATGTCAAAGACAATGCTGAAGCTACCCAGAGACCCATGACACTCAGACAAACGCAGCATAATGAAAATCACATAATTTTTTTTGCTCGGGTGAAAATCACCCGGCAATAGTGTTCTAGGGTTAAGGAGCAAATACAATCTGAACTCAAAGTGGAGCTTCTGGGGGAGATAAAAAAAGAGATAAAAGAACAGATAAAATCTCTATCTTCCACAATAGTAGAGGACATCCGCACTCAGCTCTTTAATCACAACCAGTCGCCAGATGGGTTCTCCCCACGCAGGCAACAGCACCCAAGTACCCCTAATTATCGTTGGGATGAACAAGGGAGACCAATCTACCGGAACTGCGGCCACTCTGGACATATGCAGCGCTACTGCCCACAAAGACCCACTCAAAGGCCCCAGGATTTTTAAGCACCCCTGCAGCTGAGGGCCAAGCGGTAGGGACGGCTATTCTCGAGCCCATAACTCCAGCAACAGAAACTCACGAGGCGGCCAACACAGGACTAGGACAGAAGACTGTGCTGGTGGGTGAGTGCCCCGATGTACTAGTAAAGATCAATAACTGTACTATTCCTTTTGTGCTTGATACAGGATCGCAAGTCTCCATGATGAGCCTGAGTCTATTCAAAAAGCATATGGAGGGAACCCAGGTGCAGAGTGCTGATGAAGTCTCGTGGCTGACCCTGCGCGCTGCAAATGGGCTCCAAATCCCTTATATTGGCTATGTCACGGTCAACTGCCTGGTAGGAGGAGTTAACATTCCAGAAAAAGGAATAATAATTGTCGATGACAGCTGTCTTGGGCCAGAAAAGGGCATATTGGGCATGAATGTTATTCAACCACTGTGGTCTTCACTCACCCAGGGCAACCATCCAGGGCTGGCAGCGTTCAAGACCACTGTAACGTCAGCGGAAGGGAAGGCGTGGGGCAAAGCGTTCACTATATGCCAGCGAGTGGAATGTAGCGGACCTAGGCCCAGAGTGGAGGGGGTAGCAAAACTCTCCAGACAGCCACCTGTCATCATTCCGCCCCACACAGAGATGGTCCTGTGGATGCAGGTAACCGAAACAAATGTTGATTGTACTGTTACTATTGAGCCTTTACCCAATGATAATGGTGAGTGGCGCATTGGGCGGACCCTGGCCATATTGAAGAAGGGGAAAGTACCCTGCAGGCTCTGCAACCCAAATCCCTACCCCGTTGAAGTGCCCCAGCGACAACCCCTGGCAAAGGTGACTGAGGTGGATTCAACAGATGTTCAGGAAGTAAGTAAGTAGTAAGTAAGTAAGTAATCATTTATATACCGCCTTTTCACTGCAGATCTGAGTCTAAAAGCGGTTTTACAATTGTTATTTTTTGGGCATTTGTCTCTCACTCCACACAGAGATGGGAGCTGGCTCGCCAGTACAGGAGGTGCATGCCAGACCTATTGTACATATTTTTAGCGGTAGGGGAAACCGGAGTACCCGGAGGAAACCTACGCAGACACGGGGAGAACATGCAAACTCCACTCAGAAAGGCCCTGGTCCGACCGGGATTCGAACCCAGGACCTTCTTGCTGAGAGGCGAGAGTGCTATCCACTCAGCCACCGTGCCGTCAGGAAGAACAGCAACTGGTCTTGAACAGTGTGGGACCTGACGTTATAGAGGTGGCAGTAAGGAGGATAACTGGGGATAGGGACTCTGACGATGATTCACACCCTGCAATGTCATTACAGGGCGATGGCCTGATTGGAGAGCAGCAACGGGAAATGTCTAGCCTACTGTACTACGAAAGTGGAGGCACGTGTTTTCTCGTCACGACGAGGATTTTGGACGTACCGGAATCGTCAAACATCAGATTCCGACTGGCATAGCCCCGCCGAGTCGTGAGCGCTATAGACCAGTACCCCCCAGCTTGTATCCAGAGCTAAGATCTCTAATAAAGAACATGATGGAGACCGGCGTCGTGCGGGAAAGCGCGAGCCCCTGGGCGGCACCAATTGTACTCGTACGAAAAAAAGATAGTTCCTGGAGATTCTGTGTCGACTATCGCAGGCTGAATGCTGTGACTCACAAGGACGCTTATCCCCTCCCACGCATAGAGGAGTCACTGACGGGTTTAAAGGCAGCCAAATGGTATTCAACTTTAGACTTGGCAAGTGGCTATTGGCAAGTTGAGGTTGAACCAGCAGACCAAGAAAAAACTGCCTTTACCACACCTTTCGGCCTTTATGAGTTTGAGAGGATGCTTTTTGGACTCTGTAATGCCCCGGCAACGTTTCAGAGGCACATGCAAAGATGCTTAGGCAATATGGTGAATGACTTTTTGCTGATTTATTTGGATGACGTGGTATTGTTTTCCCCAGATTTCGACAGCCATTTGGCTCATCTGGAGGAGGTGTTTCAAAAACTGGAGAGCCACGGCCTGAAGCTTCAGCCCCGGAAATGCTGCTTATTCCAACGCAGTGTGAAATATCTGGGACATGTGATCAGTGAGGAGGGTGTGGCCAACGACCCAGAAAAGACTGAGGCTGTGAAGGAGTGGCCGATACCGCAGACGGTAAAACAAGTAAAGTCCTTTCTGGGGTTCGCGGGATATTACCGCCGTTTCATTTCTGGATTTTCTAAGATTGCCTTGCCACTGAATGCCTTGACCAATAATGCCACACACTCTAAGTCTGCTCCGGTCTCCTGGTCAGCAGACTGCCAAAAGGCATTTGACCGGCTGAAGGAAGCATTGATTAACGCCCCTATACTGGCATACGCAGATTTCTCAAGGCCCTTCCATTTGTACACAGACGCCAGTTTTGAGGGCCTCGGGGCAGTGCTGGCCCAGGTGCAAGATGGTAAAAAACGCGTTATTGCTTATGCCAGCCGTAGCCTTCAGCCCACAGAGCGGAATGACCAGAACTATAGTTCTTTCAAGCTTGAACTGTTGGCATTAAAATGGGCAGTCACCGATAAGTTCAAGGACTACTTATATGGGGCTGAATTCACGGTCTTCACGGACAACAATCCGCTGGTGCACCTGGACAGAGCCCGCTTGGGTGCTGTCGAGCAAAGATGGGTGGCACAGCTAGCCAATTTTAAATACACTTTGAAGTACCGTCCTGGCACCCAAAACCGCAATGCAGACGCCCTATCAAGGCTTCCAGAAGTGGGAGGGGGGCAGACTCAATCCCTCCAAGTCACAGCAGAGGAAGAGGCATCATGGGAGACGAGGCAGAGTGCTGACCCAGATCTGCTGCGCATTAAACGGGCCAAGGACCAGAAGCAGGACCGTCTTGAGGTATGTGAGGGCACATTTCTGTACATGAGGAGTATATTGAGGGACTGGGACAGGATCATAATAGAGGATGGTATTCTAAAGAGACAGTGGGAGGATGTGGGAATGGGGGCTCTAACCCTACAGATTCTTGTGCCCAAGGAAGAGACTATGGCGGTATGGAAAGCTTACCACGAAGGAATGGGACACCCCAGTCGAGATTGGACCGTCGCTGCCCTGAAACAACGCTGCTTTTGGCCTGGGATGGACAAGGACTGCAAAGAATGGGCTAAGGACTGTCTACAATGCCTCTGCAACAAACCTAGACCAGACGGTAGGGCCCCGCTAATGCCAATCAAGACGTCTTACCCATTTGAAGTTGTGGGCATCGACTACCTGTCCCTCTGCCGGCCTGGAGACAGGTATCAATACATTCTGGTAATGACAGATTTGTTTTCCAAATATGCAGTTGCAGTCCCCACCTTAGACCAATCAGCGAGTACTACAGCAAAGGCCCTGTACCGCTATTTGATACTAACGTTTGGTTGCCCAGAGCGGGTGCTGTCCGATCGCGGAGCTGCTTTTGAATCATCCCTCTTGAAGCAGCTCTGTCAACTCTACAGGTGCCAAAAGAGTCGGACTACAGCTTACCACCCACAGGGTAACGGTGCATGTGAACGATTCAACCAGACCCTGCTACAATCGTTGAATTCACTGACAGACACAGAGCAGAGTCACTGGCCAGAGAGGCTGCCGGCTTTAGTACAGGCCTACAATAGCACCGTTCACAGCACTACAGGTCTTACGCCGCATTACGTAGTCTTTGGCAGGCACGCGCGGTTACCGGTGGACTGGTCGGCTGGCATGGCCCCCACCATTGAAACACAATCTCTGGAAGGATGGGCATTGCAGCACCAACGAGCCCTGAGCAATGCATATCGGCTTGCCAGTAACCAGACTCAAAAACGGCAGGGTTGTGACCAGGCCCGCTACAATCGGAGGGGCCAATTGCCCCCCCTCCTCCCAGGAGAGCGTGTACTGCTTCGGAATTTCCGTCGGCGGGCGAGGGGCAAGTTGTCTAGAAGATGGAGTCCCGAGCCTTATGTAATCGTGAGTCAACTTCGGGAGGGCCACCCGGTCTATGTTATCCGACCAGAGGGCAGGGAGGGTCCAACTCACACCTTCCACCGCAATAACCTCCGCCCTTGTAATATCCGTGTCTTCCAGGAGGAGGCGCCTGAAGTGGGATCGGGCAGTCCAGAGCACCACCCCCAGCAGCCCCTTTCGAATTGCTGGCTGCCCAGAGTGACTGTTACCGGAACTATACAACCCTTCGAGCCACCCAGAGACATTCAGGTAGCTGCTCCACCTGGCCTTCCCGAACAACCCCCGCCTGTAAGACGTTCCCACCGCTCAAATTTTGGCACTAGGCCACCTAGGTATCAGGTTTGATCCGTCGGGACGACGAGACATTAAAGTGGGGGGAAAATGTCACAGTGCTCCCGCAGACTCCCTTTTTTTTATCATAGTCTATACATCCCCAGACTTACGCCCAGGTGTCAGACTAAATAGCTGGTAACGCCCCTCTGTCCCGGGACACTCGTATTGGACGTCACAGCCCATAGGATAGGTTTAAAAGGGGGGGAGGAGGAATGTACACGAGGAGAAGCCGGAGTAGAGTAAAACGCCGGTTTGAGACAGATCATCGAACTGGGACTCGGGAGCAGGAGCGGCCAGACGATAGCGATAAGTACAGGGACGTGTCCCTCACTCAGCAATCTACACTATATGCATGTTTTAGTCTGAGGGCTGGAACTCACTGGCACCGCTTGTGATCCGTAGCTGGGATTGCGTGCGGGGCAGCTTTACAGCGGGCCAGTCTACTGCGGGGCAGTCTACAGCTCTACAGCGGGCCAGTCTACAGCGGGCCAGTCTACAGCGGGCCAGTCTACTGCGGGGCAGTCTACAGCTCTACAGCGGGCCAGTCTACAGCGGGCCAGTCTACAGCGGGCCAGTCTACAGCGGGCCAGTCTACAGCGGGCCAGTCTACTGCGGGGCAGTCTACAGCTCTACAGCGGGCCAGTCTACAGCGGGCCAGTCTACAGCGGGCCAGTCTACAGCGGGCCAGTCTACTGCGGGGCAGTCTACAGCTCTACAGCGAGCCAGTCTACAGCGGGCCAGTCTACAGCGAGGCAGAGGGAGATCGGGAAAAGACCCAAATACAACGCTGCAACCACTACGTGTGAAAGCATCCCACGCATCCCGACACCTCACCCACCTGCGCAGATTTGGACAGCGGGCCCGGACCGGAGGATGTTTATTTGACAACGCCCTGCTGTGTTAACCCTTTAAGCGCCAAAGTCGCAATATTGCGACAAGCAACATTGCTCACTTAAACAGGCTGTATCTAAAAATGTGGTGCAGAATCTTGTTAATACTTTTCACCAGGGGTTAGTGGACATGTGTGCCTGTAATATGAGCAGCATTTGTGGGTGTGGTTATATTGAAAGTTTTAGAGTAAATTGAGTTTGTAAAACACCTGCGGCGCTGCAGCGCGGAGGCGAAGCAGCAGCGGTAGAGCTGAGAGGAGCGAGAGCCGAGCAGAGGGAAAGAGGGTTTTTTATTTTACTCACGAGGTCTTCAGTACCAGAGAAGTACTTGGTCTGGTACTGGCTCACTCAGATTCAGAGGAGGAAGACACACAGGTGTCCAGTGAAGCAGACACAGACATTATTAGCAGAGGTGTGGACTCGAGTCATGTGACTTGGACTCGAGTCAGACTCGAGTCATGATTTTGATGACTTTAGACTCGACTTGACCAAATATAAAAAGACTTGCAACTCGACTTGGACTTTAACATCAATGACTCTGACTTTCACTTGGACTTGCGCCAATTGACTTGTAAAGACTTGCGTAACCCGGGCCATTTTTACCTTTCTCCGCATCTCTCTTTCTATCTATGCCGTCTCTGAAGAAACAAAGTCTCGCGGTAGTTGTAGCGCTCGCGAGAGAGTTCGAACGTGAGTTTCCCGCAGTTCGCGCAACAACACTTCCCTAAACACGCACACTGCATTCACCGGTGGGTGTGTTGTCGTTGGGGAGCTGGAAATGAGCGAGCTGCAGGTATTTATCGCGACCTAACGTCATACTTTGTTCTACAAACCGTAATTGATATGCTTTCACTACAGGCGCCTCATACAATTGTATCGACGCAGTTGTCACACTGTGTGCCGTGTTTTAAAGAGGAACTGGTGAGTCAAACTAACGCTAGCCTGCGCTGCTCTGTTGGCTCTTTCTTATATTTTTCTGTGTGGGCGCCGAGCCCTATTATTATGAGTATGTTTTTGCTGTGCTCCTCCTGCTAAAGTTTGCATACATTAGATAGTTGTTTTGATTATGTGCACTAAGCTAGATTAATATTTGCACTATTGTTTATGGTGCATTGATATGAGAATCAGTGCTTTGACTGATTGAATTAATTTATATGAGAAATTTTATTATGTAATGATATATTGGTAATTATGAGATATTACTAATGCTGGTCCAGTTCATACAGGCCAGGTTCCTTCCCCTCCATTGGTCATTGGTCCCTTCAGTCCTTTGTCCCCCCCCCCCTTTTTTTTGATGGCGAGCTGCCCAGGTCCAAAGCCTAGACCCCTCATACTACCCCTATCCTACAGTAGGACATTTGGAACAATAATCAATCAATCAATCAATCAATCTTTATTTAAAGGGCGCTTTTCCTGCACAGGGCAACACAAAGCGCCTCACAGTCCACACCACACAATGCACAAATCATCACCATTAAAATACAATTAAAAACACATATGTAATTAAAAAGCATTAAAATCACATAAGTAATTTAAAAACATAAGAATCACACAAGTAATTAAAAACAATAAAATAGTTAAAACACAAAAAGTTACAACAATAAATAACAAGGTGTGTTAAAAAGATAAAATTCTCTAGTTGTATGCACAGGAAAAAAGAAAAGTCTTTAACATGGATTTGAACATTGACAGAGAGGCAGCCAGTCTCACATCCTCAGGAAGACTGTTCCAGACTTTAGCTGCATAAATCTGAAAAGCAGCCTCCCCCTGTCTAGTCCTGACTCTGGGCACTAACAAGAGTCCCGTCCCTGCGCTCCTCAGAGTCCGGGCTGGTTCATATGGGACTAGCATATCATGGATGTACTTTGGTGCAAGGCCATGGAGAGACTTGTACACCAGGAGAGCTGCTTTAAAGTCTATCCTCTGGGCCACGGGAAGCCAGTGCAGAGACCTGAGGACCGGACTAATGTGGTCGTACTTCCTGGTTCTAGTCAGGACTCGGGCTGCAGCATTTTGAATATACTGCAGCTGTTTTACTGCATGTTTGGAGATACCTGTGAGCAGGCCATTGCAGTAATCCAGCCTACTGGAAACAAAAGAATGGATAAGAATCTCCAAGTCTGCCCTGGACACAATATTTTTAATTTTGGCAATATTTTTCAGATGATAAAAAGCTGCTGATGTTACCGATCCAATGTGGCTATTGAAGTTTAAGTCAGAGTCCATTATTACTCCCAGATTTCTGACCTTATTTAAAGGCCTTAGGGAGAGAGACTGAATGTGACAAATGACGGTCTCTCTTTGTTTCTCGGGACCAAAGACAATCATTTCGGTTTTGTCCGCATTTAGCTGGAGAAAATTGCATTGCATCCACTCACTGATCCGCTGGATACAGTGAAGGAGTGAGTCCACCGGTCCATGCTCTCCTGCAGTCAGTGAGACATAGATCTGAGTGTCATCAGCGTAATTGTGGTAGGACACTTTCATACTTTGAATTAACTGACCTAATGGCAGCATGTAAATATTGAACAGGAGAGGTCCCAGAATCGACCCCTGTGGCACTCCGCAGGTCAGGGCCATATTATCTGAGACATAGTCTCCAATCTCCACACAATACTTCCTTTCTTCTAGATAGGACCTAAACCAGCTTAGGGCAGTACCAGCAACACCAACCCAGTCCTCCAGTCTCTGCATGAGAATCTCATGGTCAACGGTGTCGAAAGCGGCACTCAGATCTAACATGACTAAAACAGAGACTTTTCCTGCATCAGTGTTAAGCCGAATATCATTTGTTACCTTGACTAGAGCGGTCTCAGTACTGTGGTGTGGTCTAAAGCCAGACTGAAACATGTCAAATGAGTCATTAGATATTAAAAATTCAGTAAGTTGTTGGTAGGCAACTTTTTCAAGAATTTTTCCCATGAATGGCAGATTTGAGATGGGACGGTAATTTTCAAGTACCGCAGCATCCAAACTGCTCTTTTTTAGGAGGGGCCTGATGACTGCCTTTTTCAGGGCCATTGGAAATGTTCCAGATAAAAAAGACATGTTTACTATTTGTGTCAATGAGGGTAATAGACTACACATAACAGACTTCAGGAATCTAGGAGGTAGTACATCCAGACTGCAGGTAGAGGAACTAAGACCTGTGATTATATTTTTAACAGTTTCATCATTGACAGGTGCAAATTGAGCTAGCTCACAAAGCCTCACTGGATGTTGCATTGTTACTTGTGTTGTAGAGGTGATGGTATTTCTGATACCCTGAACCTTGTCTCTGAAGAACTGTGCAAACTCATTACACCTGGATTTGGAGTAGTGTTCTAATGGCAACTCAACAGGGGGGTTCGTTAATCTATTGATTGTTGAAAATAGAACACGCAGATTATTGCTGCAGCCTTCAATAGTTTCAGAAAAGTATAATTCTCTTGTTCTACGTAGTACTCTGTTAAACTCACACAACTTCTCTTTTAAGAGTTTATAATCACCCTGGAGGTTGGACTTTCTCCACTTTCTCTCTGCTCTCCGGCACTCTTGCTTCTGTGCCCTGACCGGGCCTGCTTTTATCCATGGGGCTTTTTGCTTATTTGTGACCATTTTTACCTTCACAGGGGCAATGGCGTCCAGAACATTCAACACACTAGAGGTGACAGAGTTAAACAGTTCATCTACAGTAGAACATGATGTGTTCTCAAAATGGATCATTCCCATAAATAGTTCACCCGTGTTTTCATTTAAGTGTCTACTTCTAACAATTTCATATTTAGCGGGTGGTCTGGTAGCAAAATACATGTTAAAAAATACACAGAAATGATCCGACAGAGCAACATCAACTACATTAACTTTTGAAATATTCACCCCTTTCGTGATAAGCAGGTCCAGGGTGTGTCCTCTGCTATGGGTGGGGCCACTCACATGCTGAGTGAGGCCAAAGGATTCAAGTATGGAACTCAGCTCTTTTGCGTATCTGTCATTAACATTATCCACATGAATATTAAAATCGCCTATAATGACTAAACCATCAAAATCTGTGCACACAACTGAAAGCAACTCAGTGAAATGATCAGTGAAACTATGGCATGACTGTGTGGCGGCTTGTACACAACAATAATAAGAATGGAAGAAGATTTCTTTTGTTCTATTTTAAAAGAAACATACTCAAATGATGAAAATTTCCCAAGAGACACTCTATGGGAGACAATACGATCTTTAAAAACTGCTGCTATGCCCCCCCCCCCTTTTATTTTCTCGTGTTTCATATTCAAATTTGAAATTTGGTGGTGAGGCTTCTATTAAAACTGCATCTCCTGTATTATGGTCAAGCCATGTTTCAGTCATAAACATAAAATCAAGATCATACGAACAGATAAAATTATTAATTAAAAATGATTTGTTGCATAGTGATCTGACATTAAGTAGAGCAAGGTTAAAATTAATATCAGTGTCAGTGGGTTTAGTTGATTGATTACAAAGAACTGGAATTAGATTTCCAGAGTTGGACCGTCTAACTGCTGTCCTTCTTTTAAATTTGTGTTTATTCAAGTTAAAACACATTTCTGAGCTGGTGCGAGGAACACACACAGTCTCTATTGGTTTAAAAAGTGAACTCTGTTGTACTTTGTTAAGTTCCAGATGCATAACTGAGTCAGCACAGTTCAGTGGCAGGACTGTCGTTACACTGCCAGACGGACAGGGGTCAGTGTTTGCACCACAGTACTCACCCGGTGCTGGTAAGGAGGAGGAGGAGGGGGGTGGTGGGGGCCGAGAAGCCTCAGATGTAAACAGTCACGCCCCCCTCGGGGAGCACTGAACAACATGGCGTAGGAAGTCCGTCAACAAACTGGTGCCGCATTTGTTCGGGTGCAGACCATCTGGACGATAGGCCACGTGACGCTTCCAGAACAGGCCAAAGTTGTTCACAAAAATAAAGTTAAAAGTGCTGCATGTAGACTGGAGCCACATGTTGAGCGCCACAACGCGACTGTAGAGGCAGTC